TTCAGATGAGAAAAGAGTGGCCAGATCCACCTTACGGGTCTGTTAGCAGGCAGTCTTGTGTCCCAGCTAGGCCAGTTGTCTGGAGATCACTATCCGAACACTATCAGAACACGATTACTGTCATGATCCTGAGACAGCGATGAGAAGTGCAAGGAGTGACATTTAAGTATATAATGAAGTGAATGCTGTCATTTTTGTCTCTAATAAATACACCATAATTTAAATACGTAAGGTCTTTTACCTAACATGCAAAAATACGAGATTTTTTTGCTGTTCTTTTCCCCAATTACGCTAGAAGAATTGTCTCATTGTTGGGCCTTCCTTTACAAATCAGTGCTTTTAAGCACAGGTACTGAACTATGCCATCTCATTCCAGATCCCAGTTCAATTTTTTGAGTATAACTATCTCCATTCTTTTCAAACAGCTCCTGATAAACTACAGAAGTTTAATATTTCTTCTTTTGACTTTGCAAAGCAAAGTGCAATAGAAACTGAATGACTATTTTAAGAGACAATGTGTTTTACCAGTATCTTTCCACCACATACCGGCTAACAATTATGGTTAACTCAATGGTTTTACCATTCTGTGACTATCTGTCTGAACACTCCTCAGAGTACGAATTCAAGCACAAATCAAATTTTAAATGTCAGAAGAACTCAGACAACTCCATCCACCAGGCAAATTCATCATTTCTGAGGCTTAGCAGACTCAGCATCTCATCAAACACTTGACACCCTGAAGAAGGTCTATCTGGGATGAAGGAGAAGGCTCTGCTGGCATACAAAGGACTTGTGGTAATGTACCATTATCCTCTTACCCCTTTTTACCCCCCCATTTCTCATATTTGGATTATCCTCTTACCCTCCCCCCTTGCCCCCCCATTTCTCATATTTGGATTACTGACTTCACTGCAGCTTCTGCATAGCTGTGCTTCAGGATCATGTTTCAGGATGTAATTAGCCTCAGAAAAAATGAAGGGAAAATGCTCCAGTCATTTTATTTTCCATACATAAGCTACAACTTATGGTGAAATCATTCCTGTAAATGGACAAAAGAAAAATTTTCCATGCTAAAACTTCACCAAAAAGGTTTGCTGCTTATAGATTATAGGCTTATATAAGGACAGGTATAGCTTAAGAAAGCACGAATTGAAGAAAAAAGCTCTAATTTTAATAAATGCTGTCTGTCTTAAGTTTAGGCTTGCCAAAATGTATTTTCTCTGTAAAATAATAAATCTACACTAAAATCATGCTACCTGGAAATTAGATTTCTAAATACATAAACCATAACAATAAAATACACAGGTTTTGTGTCTTTTGAAAACACTCCATTTTCCTGTTCCTTATGCAACTGAAGGGGAATTTCCAGCTGTGCCCTGTCAGCCTACGGACCGAACACATTGTGCTGCTTTTCATTTTCCTTAAGTGAGCTTTTTAGTTCTCCGAGTAACAGTATTAGCTGATGCTCTGCACACAGAACAGAACAGCGCTTTGTCCCCAGGGAAAGAAGCTAGTTCAGACTTAACTAAGGAATCAGCTAACATGTTTCAACAAACCCTACTGTTTCTCTGTTTGTTTTAAAGATATTACTGTGATTTTGTTTCTTTTGCAGCTGGAGACTAAATGACACCAAACAGAATCTGCTGTTAGGTTAGATTACAAGGTAAAATGTTTTAAATTTTAAATTACCGCTTAAAGCATGGTGTGGAATGGCTTAAACTATATGTTAACTTTGCAAATATGTATGAAATAACATTAGTTATATTTAGCAATACTGAACAGAAATGCTTTTCTAGATAAAAATATGCAATACCAGTTGAGATGCTTTTTGTTTGGTATGCATGTTTGCCATGCACTTCAAGCTTTAACTAACTGAAAGTGCAACTAGTTTTGCTGGTATGGCTAAATGTAACTCATTTCTATGCAATTTAAAGAAGAGTATGTGAAAAATCTTGGTAAATCACTTTAACCCCTGTGTATCATGAGAAATAACCTTGACATCTTAGAAACATGTTTGAATTCAGACTGCATAAAGATAGATATAGAATAAATTCTGATACTCTGGTTTTCCTAACGGGTCACTACTTGAAAAATTAACTCTTTCCATTAACATAACAGCAAAATGGCAGACACTGAAGATAAACATTTTGAAAACTACGAACTACTGAACACAGTAGTTTTTACATGATATAAGTAAAGGTAATAAGGATGCTTTCACATATTAGGCATGATCTACACATTTATGGGTAAATTAAAAAAGGTATAGCAATGCAGCCATGTTGAGGGTATCAGGAAATACAAAGATATTATTTATAATGTCATTTATTATTATTATAATATTATTTTGACATGTAATCATTTGTTACAAAAGTTGTATAACTTGAATAGGTTGAATTTCTCCCAAATTAAAAGTTGGCTGGCATTATACTAATTTTAACTTCCTAATAGATAAACCGAGGACATCAGTCATGGGCATTAAAGGCCCAGTGCATTTAAGGCCTTTTTCTTGTCTGATATTCATGATTTGGGTCTTAAAATGTGAGACAGCACTTACTAAATAAGGCAAGGAAAGAAAGTTAGAAACATAGCTCAGTATTTTGCATGTAAAGAACACCATTTGGTTCAAAGCAGTAGTATTAAGCTTTCAGTAATGAAGAGTTAACTGGGTGTGAAACTATTGCATATAAACTCACATATATGAACAGGATTAGTTTAAAAAGAGATATTATTGGGGGATGTCTATTGTGTTCTCTTTTTTATTTGTAATCATAAAGTATTTTACGAAAGCAAGTTTCACTTTAAAATTGTTTGATTTACTGCAGTTTTACTCTATACTGAAGTTAACAGCAAAACCTTGAGACTTTTTTTGTACAGTAAATTACATTACATTTACTGTAATATTACATTATATTATTCCTGACTTTTAGTAATAGTTTTAAAAATATGGAAAAGGGTTTCGGTCATGCCATTGTATATTAGTATACATTATTTCATGCCATGGTCACAGGAAGAAACAGTTAAATGTCAGAAAAGCCCAAATATAATGTAGCAGCATTGTAACTACATAGCTATGGTGGTGCTACAAAGTATCCTATAAAAATGTGACCATAATTGAGATGTCACTAACTCAACAGAATGAATAAACATGTTCAAAACTTTTCTTTGTATATTCAGTTTTCCCTAAGGGCTCTTTCTGTGTTTAATTGAAACTTGGAGAACAGAAGTTTACTGTGTAATTTTATAGCCAGTTATTACCACCACGCAAGTAAGTTAGAAACCAAAACATTAGGTCATTGGTCCTGTAAGCCGAGGTACTAAGAAACGAGTACTTTCTGAACAAGAACAGACATCACGAATGCAAACTAAAAGCTTCATCATCTATCCGACATATTAACTGACAGCAATTTCTGTATATAAATGGGTAGTATAAAGTCTAGATAGCACTTTGGAATAACTGATTTCTAATGGGTAGTAAGTAGTGAACCAAAATCTGGATTAATTTAAGAACCCTGCTATTACACAAGACATTACGTGGATTTCTGAGATGCAGCTCAAATTGCCTTTACATGGAAATAAAACCATTAGCTTAGCTTAACAAAATTCTACAAATTAATAGATGTATTTGCTGTACTATTTTAAAATTAAAATAGTTTAACGTAAACCCTTACAGTATTAGAAGGAAATAAAACCATACTCTTTTAAGCTTATTACTGCCAACTGCTCGTTTTAAAACACTAGAATAAAAAAACAAACCAAACCAAACCCAAGAATTATGCTGTGGAAAGCATGAAGAAGATGCAATCACATACGTTATGTTAAAGAAAATTTAGGCAACTTGGGCCAAAAACTTGACCTATTACATAAATCAGAAAATACCAAGAGGCACAAAGTTTTAAACAAAATCTGATTCAGGCAAAACCAGTTCAAGTTCCTGAAATAATACTTCCCTGTACTTAGACAATGTAAATAACTATATTAAGACTAACTCCAAAGTGAATGTCTACATATAAAGGCAGACTGATGAACATTAAGAAAATACATTTTTTAATCCCCTCAATACTTCCTTAGAGAGAAACCATAGATACAACCTAAGCATTGTCTTGGACACAAAGCTTAAGTGTTCCAAATCTCAAGTTCCTCACTAATTCTCAACATCACAAGAATACTAGTATCTTCAGACTTTACTGTCCCACGTAAAACAGGCCACAGGACAAGAGCATTTCCCTTTTGAAAGAATTCTGCCAACAGAGCTATGACAAATCATTAAGAACTTTGGACATGCAAACCTTATTTCCAACACAGGTATAGCCACTGCTGGCTTTTTCTATAAATACTCCTGAATCTTGACTGCTCTGTTTTGGAATGCCACCTATTGGTGACAGTAAGCCTAATTTTTCTGTAGAACCATTATAGGAAGACTCAATATAAATAGGAATTATGAACTTCTTAAAAAGTAAATGCAGAACACAACCCATTATAGATCAACCTTTTTAGAATACCTACTCTTAATAAAGATTTCCACTAGAAAAGCATATGTGGGATGTCACAGATCATGCTATTCTGATCAAACTTCCAAAAGGTCTCCTGTACTGCAGAACCAAAAAGATTCTACTAAAGAGAAGGATGGCTAGAAATGGAAGCAAAAGCAACATCTCCTTTCATCTCTGGTGAAAAATACCTTGCACAGAAGTGACAAGCAAAAAGCATTTGGGGCAGCATATCAGAAATTAATTGGGTATTTTTCTGTTACTTTGCCATTCCCATGTTCAGAACTTACAACAACCTGGTAGAAATACTAGCAATCAAAAAAGTGAAGAAACTTTTTACAGCTTTCAAGAACACCCTTGCTGGAAGCAGTAACAACTACTAAATTGCAAATACCTGGTGGCACTGCAAATCTAAGCTACCTCTTCAAATGCAACCCCAAATACAAAGCTGGCACATACTTGAATTTGGCTGTTACCTGTAAGGGCAGAGAACCACTGAACTAAAATTGCTTACTTGAGCTCTCACAAGGGCAATTTCTTTCCAACAAGGAGCTTGGTTATATTGACCTACCATGTACTGGTCCACCTGCTTTTGAAAAGGGCATCATATTCTTCCCTGTGAGGGTGCTGAGGCACTGGCATAGGGTGCCCAGTGAACCTCTGTCTGCCCCATCCCTGGCAGTGTTCAAGGCGAGGCTGGACGGGGCTTGAAGCCGCCTGGTCTAGTATGAGGTGTCCCTGCCCATGGCAGGGGCTTGGAACTAGATGAGCTTTGAAGTTCCTTGCAACTCAAACCATGTTGTGATTCTATGATATGACTGACATAATTCTTAAAAGCTCTCCACTATCTAATTTCCCTTTTTTTTTCCCCCATTCCAGAATACTTATTCTGAGACACACAAAACCATGCAGGCTACATCACTAGTCTATTATTTCCTGCTTGTGTCTCTGTGTCTTGATTTTTCTCAAAATGGAACTAATGCACCTCTCAGGAGGCAAAGGAGAAGAATGCGCCACAGAGGACTGCGAAGGAGCTTCTCAGCTGAGCACAAGGACCCCAGACAGCCAAAGATGAAGCTTCCAGCTCCAGCTGCTGTAGTACCCAGCATACCTCTCATTAACATTGACGACGGTGTTATGGGAGTATTTGACTCTCTCGTAGGTTTGGGTGGACATGAATCTAGTTACAGTGTCTTGCCAGGTAAGAATAAAGCCCCTCTACTACTTGAGAATAGGCTGATCTTTCTCTTGATTTCAAACAAAACTTATCAACTCATGAAAGCTTTATTCTACTTGCAACACATCCTGAAAGAAAACTGTTACCTTTTTGCTAACCTAATTCTGTTGCCTTTTATAATAATGTTGTGGTTAGCATTTGAAGCTAATTATCTGTGCTTAAGCCCTACAGAGAATTCTGCTTTGCCAGTTTACCGTTCTGCAAGTTTTCTGCATTCTCATTTCATTTTAACTAATAAAAGTGTTCTGGAATATTTTCATAATTACAAATCTATAGCACATTTGAAGGCCATTTTGAAGAATTTCTTGCTCAATACATCTTCTAAGTCACTTAACATGTCACTGAGGCCTTAACATCAGTAACACCAGTGTTACTTAAACTGGACTTGAGTTTTGTTTTTTGGTTTGTTTTTTTTCCTAGTTGTATTTTTGAAAAGCAGCATTCAAACTACAGCTACATGCCATATTTCAGGAATAATTCTTCTGTAAATAAATTAATAACACACAGTAATAGTTGCAATATGAAACTTACATTACAAACCAAACCCTTATGACAGAAAACTAAGCTACGAGAGAAAACCCCACTCATTCAACACAAGATCACTCTTACACTCCATCTATATCAAGAATCCAGGTTTATTTAAAAGAAGTTAAATAAGATGATTTATATAAAACTTGCCTTTCCTGTGATTGACAGGTTTCCATATTGCTGCACTTATGTGTATTTTATAGTGTTTGAAGGAGGGGTAGGGAAGAGGATTTGACGTCTTAAGGAACAAACAAATGAAAAGCATAATTTCATTGATCTTGACTGAAATCTGCTTTGGTATTTTTAACAGGCTTCTCTCCAGTCTCCTCAAAGAATAGAAGACTAGACAGGCATTGAGAACTGAGAGCTAGTAAGCATCTATTTGGTCCTTAGTGCAATAAAGGAAGAGACAACTCTTGCCCTAGGAAGCTTGTGATTCTATGTTCAATGTCACAAACGGGAAATTATGACTCACAAACCAGAAAATTAAGGTTCACAAGAGTCTAATAATCAGCCATTCATTCTGAAGATCAGAACTTCTGAATACTATCAGCATTTTTCAGTTTTGAAACCCCAGTTAACCAACTGAAAATTATTGAAATGTTATAACACTTCATCACTTTTCATAAAAACAGGTTCAAAGGTTGAAGAAAAGACACTAGGATGTTATGAGGAACCAATACAGGATCACGTCTATAGCTAATAAAGACATAGGCACTTCCATTCCAGCACCAAGAGATCACACACTGAGTAAAATCATGACATGCACTTTTATAAGGATTAAAAAAAAAAAAAAAAAAAAAAAAAGCCCTGATTACCACTGTTCTACATTATAACAATCTCTTTTCATAAGCATTAACCCTTATAGTGTGTCACACATGAAAGATATGACCACTAGGTAAATAGGTCTCAATTTAGATGGCAAAACATATTTGAGTCACATTTTCTTAACAATTACTGTTTGTTGTGAGTCCTTGCTTTCAGGAAGGCTGAACCATTTCAAATCAAATATTTTTAAGGGGTTTTAACCAGAGAAAAATAGCAAAACTCTTGACAAATAACATTTCTAGTGCGTACTATAATATTACTCTTATAATACATACTACTAACGTCAAACCTTTAATTTAAAAATACTTTTTAAATTAAACAGAGGAAAATACCACATCAATTGCACACACTTCATGTAAGATATTCCAGTGTCTCTGTCAGAGACCATCTGTCATGCTGAAATAATGCATGGTTCTTCCCTCCTCCCCTCCCCGTTTGTTTTTTTTTTATCTGGACTTGCATCCAAAAGCTGAGCTAAAACCACTGAACTCATTTTATTTGGAACTTGATGCTGAATTTACACCATATTTCCAAAGGTTAAAAGTCCTGTGCTCATCTGCCAAGGACTTCAACTACAAGGTATTTTTTAGTCTAGTTTTTGAAGTTCAAAATTTTTTCAAGTTAATGTCAGATTTAGAAAAAATGGAGCCTATTAAATAATAGAACACTCTTATTAATCCTGCTTTACAACAGAAGAAAATGCAATCCAAACATTAATTTACATTCTCCTAGCTACTTATTTTGCTCTTAGTAGCCTAAAGCCAATTTACAGATATCATATGCAGGATGAAAAGTAAGTTAAATAGAGATTTAACAGTAACAAGACCTATCTCCTTCCTCCATATAAAAATCATGTGAACCATTTAAATTAAATCAAAGAGTTCATCACAACAGAAGGTAATTTGCAGCAGTTTGTCCTTCACAGACTACAATCTGCCCATTAAGCAGTGCAGAATACAATGCGAACTGTTGCACTATTTCTATTATCTCTTAATCCTCACTTCTCCCTACTCATTCCACCACACTTAAGTTATATTCAGTGGATAAAAACTTTAATGAGCACCTCAATGCAGCCTCTACTCTGTCTCACAGGGGTTTTACTGCAATGCAATAAAAAGGTACCTCTTTGCTTTTAAGCACACACATTTGTCGTGCCTTTTTAAGTAACTCTCATGTACACATAAAACAAGCTAATTTGTTAAAAGATGTCTGCAGAGGCCAAGACCTGATAACCCATATTTTTATGCTTATTCAGACAAGATTTGCCCCAACTTCAGATACAGTCTAGCAGCTAAAACAAAATAAAGAATTTAAGGCAGCGTAGAAGAATTTCCATCTTGAGCCAGATATGTTCCTCTGGAACAGCTGACATTTTATTGTTTAACATGAGAAAGTGTAGTGTCCTTTTTGTGTTTCCTTTGGAGAGTATTTAAAAGAAATGTTGTGATTTCCTGGCAAGCATATAAAAACTAGAAGTCAGGATCCAGCAAACAGCTGGATTACAGATACCTGGGTAGAATGACAAGGGATTTACAGCCAACTAACATTTGGCCTGGGCTAACTCATCTCTCCTCCATCAGTTTACATGGGTTGAGTTGATTAGAGCACAACTTTATGCAGCTGAAATGATGCGCACATACCTCAGAGCTTTGAAAAAAACAAAATGCAACTGTTCAATAGATTAATTTGTCCCTCTTTCCATCCTCAGAGTAATAAGGAACATAGAGGAGTGCCCAGCAACATGATTTTTAGAATTAATTTTTATTCTAGAAAACAGGTTTGCATCCAATGGTCTTTAAACAGAAGGGCAAAGGAGCACCATTGCTAAGAAGCTGAGAGGAGGACATCCTTGAAGGACTTTGGAATATACCTGATTTTGAGTCAAATATTAATTCCAGAGACATTTCAAACCAATTATTTACAACAGTCTTGTCAGGATATTTAGAGACTCTCCTGAATTATCTTCTAAAAACTGAATAACCAAGCATGGACCAGGTTAGAGTGTGGGAAAACAAACCCTGCAAACAATCCCTCCAAAAACAGCCTATTGCAAATAAAAGTCTCTTGCACATAAATTTAGTTGAGATGAGTTTTCCACTATATTAAATCTTCATCTGCAGAAGGAAGAAAAACAAAATAGGAAAAGAGGACCTTTTTTTATTTATATGCAGGAAAGTACGAAGTAACTTAGTAATGGGATTTCAGCTTGAAACAAACACTTCACCAATGCATTAATTAGAAAAAGGAAAAGGAAGGTGTGTAGGCAGTACTGATTCTCACCAGATTCAGAGGTATGCTCAAAAATAGGAAAGGATTTACATGGGATAAAGAATCTCCACTTTGGCTTTCCGTCTCTCAAAACACGAAACCAAAAAGCATAATGCTAAAGTGCAATGTTTATTGTGGAGTCTGGATGAGAGCTGCCCAGGGAAACTTTTGCTGAGATAGACTCAACCACTGGAAGGAAAGAAAAACTTGAAAGAGTTTCCTTCCAAAGTCTTTACACTCTCCAAACAACTTTCCTACTGAATATCTGAGTATAGCTTAGAAAATACATCTTATCTACATTTCTTTCTGAAAATTTCGACTCGAACCACGGGAAATCTCAATTTTTTGTACCTCCATGTCCAGAAACTTTGGAGATGAAGTATTTACTAGCGCAAGTTGTTCAACCTTGCCTTTCCTAACAAAGAGGGTTATTTCAGATAAAGCAAGTTACAAGGAAGAGGAGATGTTTGCTACCTTACCAGTCATTACAGGATGGACTTCATTTACATTAAGCCTATGAATGGTCACTATAAAGTGAATATTGTTACCTTCCTGGTTCCAGAGTCCTAACAAAACTTTTGCATTTTATGTGCAATGTATCAGAAAACGCATCTAGTGCACAAGAGAGAAAGAAGTGGGTCTGGACCAAAATATTCTCAAGTTCCGCATGACACATTTTAACTCTCTTTTGATGAAGAAAACATTTTCTCCTTTCTCAGCTGTATCTATGCACAGTTTTCAGTGAGACCCATTTCTAAGGATGAAGAAGAAAGAGGAGTTGGCATGCAGAAGACCCTCAGAAACTCACCAACTTGGCTTAATCTTTTAGGAGTTATCTCTCAAGTTTAATAATTCAAGAGTTTTTCCAGAAGACAAAGCTTGTAAGGGTCCTCATCAGCTGTCTAGGAAGAGGGAGCAGAGGATTAGAGGGACAGAGAACCTGCACACAGTTTTCACTGTGAAGCTATAGCAGGTAACAGCTACGTACTTGTTAATTGTGTGCCTCCCCCTTTGCCTCCACAGCTTGAGCAGCCAAGAACCAAGTAGGGATTGGAGACTACTAAAAAGCTCAAGAAAACAGACTTATGAAAAAGAAGGAATAAGGATAAGATCCTTAGAATAGGGTGTATTTTACATATTTTCAAAATAAGAACAAAATAGTAGTGCTTCTTTCCAAAGTTTTAAATGAGCACTGTTGGTTTCATTTCAGTTTAAGCTATTTAACTCCGATTTTCTATTTTCTTTTCTTAGGAAAGACAGGGCACTGCACAGCTAATGGGATGATTATGTATGATAAAGCCGTCTGGTCTCCCAAGCCCTGCGTTACCTGTCTCTGTTCAAAAGGAGAAGTGATATGTGATACCACCATGTGCCCTTCTCTGAGGTGTCCCAAAACGATCATACCTGCAGGAGAATGCTGCCCAGTTTGTTCTGATACTGGTAAAGTACACCGAAATATTTTTACTATTTTAAAACTACCTCATGCAAAACCTAAGATAAAGGCTACATTTAATGATAGCAAGGTTTACAAAGTACACATTACCCTTTTATAGAGAAAATATGTCCTGAATTACATAGTAAGAGCAGGTCTTCACAATTTCTACTCAAGCTGACTTCAGTTTCTTACAGTACACTGGATGTTAGATGAGCTTGATGTAATATGTAAAGAAATGAAGATGTTAAGTATGCAACAGTACAGATAACTGTATTTCTTTTTTCTTTATTTTCCCCTTTCTGCTTCTTCCCTCCTACCTTTAGAAAATTTTGGTAAATGTACAAAGGACAAACATCTAGTTACATTTTATATCGCACTTCCATTTACACTGGATCAATCAATAGCTACTAGCCATTACTAATGTATCAGACATGCATAATAAACAACATACAGTTTACAGAGTTGTAAACCTTGTCAGGAGCATAAAAACATGCAGTTACTTGATATAAATCAAGAGAAGGAAGTCAACTCTCAAAAGGAACAACAGAACTGCAATTTTGCTTATTGATAAAAATTTAAACAAGATCAGTATCTTTGAAAAGAAAAGGAATGGAGGAGATGAAGCTGAAATGTGATTTCCCTCCCCCTCTCCCACTACCCTGAGTCTGGCAAAGTACTGAACTTAACCTCCTCTTACCATGAAAATATTACTTAGCCTTGAGTGTGTGTGTGTGCATGTGACACAAAGAAATATACTGAGTAGAGACATCATAGAAATTAAATACAGAACTAGAAATCATGTTGACTGAAACAAACTCCTTTTATGTGATTCTGTCTGTTTCTGGAGTTGCAATGAATCATACCTATCTACAAACTGTTCTGTACGGTTGGCTGAATCATTTCTCAGTCAAAGCAGCAATATAGGACTCTATTTTTATTCTTTCAAATAAAATTCTAAGGGGAATACTATTCTTCTATAGTTACTGTATCTTTACTGAAACTTTAGTTTCATATCCTCTTACGAGATAACTTTTTTTTTTCCCCCTCATGGCCTCTGGTTAGCCTCCTCTTTGGATTCAAGTATTATTTCACTGGATGACATAAGTGAATTTTCTGGTGATTCTCCAGAACCCAATGACCTTGACAATACCAATAAACTGTCATCAGCACATACTCAAACTGAAAAAGATGAACTGCTGAGAACAGAACTGATAGAGGTTAAAGAGAAAGAGGGTCATAAAAAGGATGGAAAGAAAAGAAAAAGGAAAGGCAAAAAAAATCGACATAAGTATAGAGCCTATCACAGAGAAAAGAAGCCTATCAGAAGAAAGGGAAATGTAAAAGAAGAAATAGAAGATGAAAGTGATGAAGATGATGGTACTTTCAGAATGCCATCACATTTCCCAATTCCGATTCCACCCATAGAAGCTCCTCCTTTGCCATCTGGATGTTCAACCTCGGACACCACAGTAAGCTGTATTAACGCCAAACTTAAACAAATACCACCAATCTCAGATCCAGATCTAACAAGTCTAGACCTTACAGGTAGATCAAAGTTTACTTTGCATGATTTTTTTAATGAATTAACATTATCCATTCTCAAATGCAGTCAACAGCAGGATTAGTAGTTTGTTGTTCTTTATCATAGAAATATATCAGAATGAATTCTACTTTCTAAGCCTCTAAAGCAATAAACGTGTTAGATTTGTTTACTAATGTTTAAATACTAATATGAACATACTTACATACAATTATTGTACATAAGACGACTATTTTTGTAATATATTTTTGATGTACAATATGACACAACTCTGATGCATGCTGTAATTCATAAATCAAACTATTTCTTGAATTCTATTCTAGGAAATAGTATCACTACTATCTCAGATGAAGCATTCAATGGGATACCTAATTTGGAATGGATTGATCTCAGTAAAAACAGTATTACCTCTCCCGGCATTGGTCCACAAGCATTCAAAGTAAGAAAGCCTAACTTTTCTACTGTCCTATGACTAATTATTGCTGAAATGGAAGTTTATCCTGCTTCTCAGTCTATCAATCCAAACCAGTTTGCCCCTACTATGAGTAACCATCATATAATTACAGTACAGTTAAGCCTGGCTTTTTCAAGAAATCTCCTGTCATATCAAGAATATCTACAGATTTTTGAATGACATTCACCAAGTATTAAATGCTAAACAATAAGAGTGAGACATTTTTCTGATATTTTATCAGTTCCAGTTGAGAGATTTCAGAATTGAAGGGTTCATATTCCATTAACACTACCTATGATACACAAATTTACAAATGTTGAGCCCAAGTATCATATTTCTCATTACATTAGCTCTGTAAAGCTTATTATGCTTTTGGATTCCCCAACAGATCTGCCTGTGGCAGGACTTGCTACAAAAATCCACTCAACAGTAGTTCATGTAATTAGCTGAATGCTTATTCCTCGCTATCGTTAATGAGAAACTTCCAAGCACTGCTGCTTACTCGAACAGCTTTCTTGTAAAACAGTCCAAGAATCTTTATATATTCAGTGTTCTTCCCGCATGGCGAATGTACATGGTAATAGGCTGTTCCAAATGCATCTACATATTCCTCATTTGAAGGCAGAACAGTCTCATAGTAATTTCTCATGCAAGCAAGTACATACAGGTAATAATTTAAGTGTGGAAGTAAGGCAGCAAGGTCTTGCTTTTTCAGGCAAGATGAATCAAAAAGCATATGAATAACAAATAGAATTATCACAGTGTGTTTTATTTGTTTCCTGGCATATGCAACCTGTCTTGTAAGAGTCTCTGTATACCACCTCCCTCCATTTAACATGAACAGCTTTGGCTGATTTCAAAGGACTTCAGCTCCTACAACTTGTATGAAGTCAAAGTGGATGGAAAAGACAGACCAGGAAGGTGTTCCAATTGTGAAATAAATTTTAGTGAGGCTTACATCACAGCAGGTGGTTAAGGCAAAACTGGAAGAAAGCAGGCTTCAGCAGATCCACTGCTGAAACAACTCCACCTTCTTAAATGCTCACTACTGCACGATCACTGATGTGCATTTAAGCTACCATAATTTTTCATGCCAGTATTTTAAGCTAGCTGAAGTCATAAAAATCCTAGGCCACTGAAAAAGTTGCTGTTACGCTTAAGTAAATTTTCTAACCTACAGAAAACCATCAATTTACTCATGAATGAAGAGTATAAACACATTATCTATAAATGCATGGACTTTGAACCCCTAAATACTGCAGTGGTGTAGTGAGGTAATACCTACATGACTGAAAGACAGTAGCAATAACATAAACAGGAACGGATAGCTGCAGGATGGCCATGTGGAAAGTTGATGCTCTTTCAGTCACACATTACGTTAACTGGCCACGTTTCTTAATATTGAGCATAAACCCCTCAATTAATTAGACTGATAGAAGAAAAATATTTTTAATTCAAAACACTCCATACTCGTGCACTGCTGCAGCAAATCTTCAAAAGCATGTGTTTCAGAAAACATTAACTATGATTACATTATATGTTTAACCATACATTTTACACCTTCATAATCTAAGAAATCTTCTTCCCTATGATTAAGATCCTGAAAAAGCTAAAACGTTTGTATTTGGATGGAAATATGCTGGTACATATTCCATCTGAACTGCCATCAACTTTGGAGGAAATAAAAATAAATGACAACCACCTTCATGCCATTGATGAGGACGGCTTAAAAGGTATTTAGAAATCTAATATAAATCATATGAAATATCTTAAAATAAATTTGAAAAGCAGAATGTTCAACCAAATGCATCTGTTTTTTTACAACCAGAGAAAAAATTGCTAGCTTTTAAGTGCCATGTTTTCCAAAGGCAACAAAAGCTGAAAGATTTGGATAACAAAGTTTTTTAAAATCACATTTTCCCTTCTTACGCAACTGCTACTCTCCCATGGATTCTTCTGTTTAAGGTTACTAAGTAGAGATGGATTTGAAGTATGTTGAACATACCTACAGTCTTATAAGCGCCTTCTTTTCCATTCTAAGTAGAGAGGAAGCTATAAAGCTCTAGTCACCCTCTAAAGTTCTACAAACTAATAACCAGTATAATCCCATGATTATGAGATAATAAAGGAAAATCCTTTCACTATATTTCTTCATTGGTGTGAACTGATTTGAGTAATGTTTAAGATGGTTAAATTTAAAACATATATTTTAACAATATATGAGATGGCATTAACTATCAGATATTCGAACTTTTTTCTCCCTAGGTTTAAAGAACTTGATCACCCTGGAACTGGAAGGAAATAAACTTAGTGAAGCAAACGTCAGTCCTTTGGCCTTTTCTCCTTTGAAAAGCCTCTCTTACTTGCGGCTAGGAAGAAATAAATTTAGAATTATCCCACAAGGTCTTCCCACCACTCTTGAGGTAAAAACAAAATCAGCCAACCAAAAAAAGCAAAGCAAACCAAACCCAACCACCAAAACAAGAAACCTTCATTTTTCCATCTTCATCTTTCCTCCTCCGCTACTTATTGCCTTACAATCATCAGGTAGAGATAAATTTAAATTTTATAAATTTTTTTCTAGATACATTTACAGTTTTTATTCCTAAATAATTACTCCTAGAAATCTACTTATACACCAACTCCATCCCAAAAGGTATCTTTTCAGTTTGAATTTCTCTAGTACTCTCACAAAATTGTGTAGCCTGCAACTTCGTCTGTTCCATTACTTGTCCTTCATGAAACACTCCTAATACAGATCACGTCTCAGTGCAAAACCATCACAAACTTTGAGTCACCACACAGAGTAAATTTCACAAGACAGCAACAAGAATAGTGAAAGATATAGAAATCCTGTTTTTTAAGGAAAGAATAGAGGATTCAAGATTGTCTAGTCTGAAAGACAGAGAGATGCCTAGATCTAACCATCCTCTGCCTTTTTTGGCTGGTCTAAGCCTCAATTTCCCTTGTTTTCCAAACCTTTGCTGAATCTCACCTCATTTGGGGTAGGGGGCAGTGTTTGAACAGGAGGTTTATTTCTCTTCCCTGAACAGATTCCTTATTCCTTGATTTTTAGTTAAAAAAAAAATGTTATGTTAGTCATTTCCCATCCCATTCCTCTGTCCAGAATTTGAATGTGATTTGTTGCAGTGGTTTGAGGCTCTTTAGGGAAGCTATCTGGAAGGTATTTTCTTCCTCCTTTTAAATCTCTCTTTAGTTTCGTTCTCTGCTTACCTCAGTCTTTACTTCAAAGATAAGTCTTGCTACCTATTAATTTCACTATCTTTCTTGATTCTACCTTCCCCTTTCCTCTTTCTCATTTCAGCGTCCTTATATTTATTTCCTTTTATCCTTAGGATCTTTCATAACCTGAAATGTGAGGAGGAAAAAAAACCCAACAGCATCTTTTCTATAACATCAGCTTTTTCTGCAGCTACTGTCTGCAACTTTACTTCAGCCTAATGCTCTCCGATACCCATTCACTCACACATAACAGTTTTCTTTTTCCCTTCATCCCTCCTTTATGAAACAGTGAACACCTGGAAAGTTTTTGTGCACTTCATATGCTTTGGGAACATTTAATTTTAAACCAACACCTAATAAATTCACGATGGTTTTCAGGCTATGAAGTTGCTTTCCTCTTTTTCGAAAGTCTCAGATCCTAAATTCTGTTTCAAGTCCTACATATATTCTAGCCAGTTTTGTTTCACTTCATATTTATCCTAAATTACAAGGGATTATCAGGAACTTAATCTATGTAAACCACATACAGAGATTGTACTTTCATACACTGCAGACTCACAACATTAAGTTCTGTAAAACATTAACATTATATTCCTACAGATTTGAAAGTTTCAAAGCTCACAAGTGCCTAGCAAAAATATTAAGAAAGCAAGACTCTTGACATTTTTCTCACTAATAACTTTCCAAGACAAAAAATATTAACATCTTCCTCTCAATCTCGTAACTCCCACATTATATACTCTCACACTGTACAACTTGAGGTAAGACAAAAGATACAGCTCTTTTTCAATTTGCTCTTTCAAAGCAAATGAGAAAACAAAACAATTGCTTTGAAAAATTGCATTCCTGAAAGTCCCACTTCAGCTACAAACTGATTCGGATTCAGAAATTCTCAGATGTATCAGGCAGTATGGAGGACATGTAAAAGGTAGATTCTGAATTTGCAATGGGAAGAACAGCGTATTTTGATTTCACAAATTTTCTTTCCAAATTTGCTTACAGGAGTTATATCTTGAAAATAATCAAATTGAAGAAGTTTCAGAAATTTGCTTTAACCATACAAGAAACATAAATGTCATTGTGCTAAAGCATAACAAATTAGAAGAGCACAGAATAGCACCTTTGGCTTGGATAAACCAAGAGTAAGTACAAATAATTTAAAATGCAATGATGTTCTTTTTCTGTTACTAGTAAATCAGATAGTGAAATAAATACTTCCACTTCATTACTTTTCTTTTGAAATTGTAATTATCTTTTGATGTGCTTGTTTTCCTTAGCTAATTTGCTTTAATTTCCTTTGCTTAAATCGTATAATCTAAGTAGTATTCAGTCGGTTTCCAAACAAAAACACTTTATACTTCAAATCTGTACCATAGTAACATAAAAGTATAAATATTTTTTCTGAGTATTCAATCAAAAAATAAGTATAAATTATCAATAACACTCCATACAGTGTTACAATAACTTGGCATTAATATATAATTATCTCACAGGTAATTTTAAAACAATTTAATTTTTCCTAGCCTTATTTCCCATTAGATTGAAAATCAAAATAAGAAAGATGAAGGGAAGACTGTGCAGCTGCACTGTGTAAGAGTAGAATGTAAGCAGAGCAAACAACAAGAACGAAAGCAGCAAAAAGCGATACTGCTTTTGGTTCTTCTGGTAAATTCCCTGCTAAACTATGTAGGGTACCTTGCCATAACCTGCTGTAGTCCCATCAATTGATTTCTGGATTTCTAAAATGCTTAATCTGAAAACAACTACACTGTTCTTAACAGCTTCTCTCATCTCTGGAAGTGAAGCACATTGGAAGGATTCTAAAGGAGCCATTCACAAAACAATTTAATTTCAAATAGGCTTTAGATCAACAGTTTAAAATCCGTGTCATAAGCACTAAATCCCCCTCTTATTCTGTGTTTTCCAGGGTCACTCCTTATTGTAATTAATGAATGCTTACCAACCACAAATTAGCCCCTCAGGATTCCCCTATTCAGCCTTCTCTCTGTACTCAATACTGTAGATTTCTTCCCATCGACAGAATCATTGTGCTTCACTGATCATTAATGATTTCAATTCTTTCTATTCCCAGAGTAATTGTGCTCCACCATGTTCCAGAAAATGCATTCTGCTCCATTAACAGAAACAAATTTCCCTTTGAAATTTAGTTTCTTGGTATCACGTCAAACAAATTTTGTACAGAATGTAGCATTAATGATGCAGTATGCTGTAATGTTTTAATCCTCTTTTTTCCTCCCCTCCTTTAATGCAGGAACTTGGAATCAATTGATCTCTCTTATAACAAGTTGTATCATGTTCCCTCGTATCTGCCAAAATCTTTACTACATCTGATACTTGTAGGAAATCAAATTGAAAGAATTCCAGGATATGTCTTTGGTCACATGAAGCCAGGGCTGGAGTATCTCTACCTCTCCTTTAACAAACTTACTGATGATGGAATAGATCCAGTATCATTTTTTGGAGCATACCACACTCTGAGAGAGTTGTTTTTGGATCACAATGAATTAAAGGCTGTACCATTTGGAATTGATGAAATGAGAAAACTACGTTTTCTAAGACTGAACAATAATAAAATAAGGTAAACCTTTTCTTGTTACTTTTAAGTAAACTTTTGTTAAAAAATTCTGAGGGAGATGCTAAATCCTGAGTTTTCTATTGCAGTATTTCTGCATACGGTAAGAGAAAAGTGAGATTTCAGCCTTGTAGTTCTTGAAATTTATTAGACAGATGCTGAGTACCAGTTCTGTTCAGACATTAATCTATCTACTACTGCTTGGGCCACATGTCTGACCAGGCAGCTACAATTTGATAGACACAGCAAAGCAGCGTTTTTTGCTCTTGGGCTACAGCCCAAGCTGGTTACAAAGGCACTGGAAGGAGGCACCAGCTGCTGCTGCACACTGGAAGCAACCTTTCTGCAGGTTTTGGCCAGCCCAGCTATGCAGTTCATGGTGCTCTCTAGTTCCTCCATGCAAAAGAGTTACAAAGCAAAGGAGTGACAGACAGAGGATCTTAGGTGTGTTGTACAGAAAGTACAATAGCAATATTTTCCTATGTGAAACTAAGTATAAATAAGTATAAACAAGTATAAATGAGAATACAATGCAGGAGCAAATTTTAAAAAGGATGATTCATAGATGTCCTCAATAAATACATTATTGAGAAAATCTGATGTACTGATTAAGTTAACATTTAATACACAGCATCTTTGACATAAATTATGAAGTTATGAGTTATCTTGAATAATAAAAATATAATTCCTCCCACAATATCACAGGACAGTCCCTCCAGAACGCATCTGCAAGGCTCATCTCAATGATGATGATGTTCATGACAACAGTGAAGAGGAGGAGAACGAAGATTCACGTTTGGAACACGTTCATCTTGAAAACAACTACATCAATACAAGACAGCTATCACCACATGCATTTACATGCATAAGATCCTACTGCAGTGTGGTTCTTAAACCACAGAAGGGCAAATAAACACCCAAATTTTGCATTGCAATCTGTATCTCTAGGAAGACCACTTTATTCTCTGCTACTATCAGGTCTGCTTACTTCTGGATTTAAAACTTTCTTACTTAAATAAGATACAGTATATTACATACTAAAGTAAAGTGGCAATGTATTTCTTAATGTTTCCTTATAAAAAAATTACATGTAAAAATAGAAGCTTAAGTTTATGTCATAAATTTTTACTTCTATTGATAGAACCATGCCCCCAGATACACCCACTGTGAGATCAGATTTCAGAAAAGAAGAATGTAACTAAACCCTCCACTTGGTCTTCTTTGCTGAACTGGGTTCAAAGCATTTTAAACCGTACAATCAGCTTTAAATATTATACAAAGAAAAGTCCTTGAGCCAGGAACATTCCAGCAACGCAAGAATCAAATTGCTTAAAACATACATGGTACCGGATTTTGTACCAAATGTTCAGAGCAGTAGGTCCCATTCATTTGTACAATGTTGCCCAATTAGGGGATTAATCAGACTTTCTCAAAACTTTAAAATATTAATTTAGTAGTTATTTGAAAGCTTCTAGATAGTTAACAATAACCCCTTCATAGACAATGTTGATAAAGCAGTTTCAGTAATGCATTTGATATGAATCATAGAATCACAGACTAGTTAGGG